TCTGTCACTCTCACAGTACAGAAATGCCCTCTCATATTCACCCAGAACCTCCTGTGCTTCAGTCTGTGCCCGTTGCCTCTCATCCTGTCACAGGGCACAACTGAAGAGAGACCAGCTCCATCCTCTTGACACCCTCCCCTTGGATATTTATACACATTGATGAGGTCTCCCCTCAGTCTTCTTTTTTTTCCAGGCTAAACAGGCCCAACTCCCTCAGCCTGTTCTCATATGACAGGTGCTCCAGTCCTCTCATCTTCTTTGTAGCCCTCCTCTGGACTCACTCCAGTAGCTCCACGTCCCTCTTGCACTGGGCAGCCCAGAGCTGGACACAGCACTCCAGGTGTGGCCTCACCAGGGCTGAGTAGAGGGGGAGGATCACCTCCTTTGACCTGCTGGCAACACTCTTTCAAATGCAGCCCAGGATACTGTTGGCCTTCTTGTCCACAAGGGCACAGTGCTGGCTCATGGTCAGCTTGCTGTCCACCAGGACTCCCAGGTCTCTCTCTGCAGAGCTGCTCTTCAGCAGGTCAGTCCCCAGCCTGTGCTGGTGCCTGGGGTTATTCCTCCCTAGGTGCAGGACCCTGCACTTGCCCTTGTTGAACTTCATGAGGTTCCTCTTGGCCCAACCCTCCAGCTTTTTGAGGTCCCTCTGAATGGCAGCACAGCCCTCTGGGGTATCAGCCACTCCTCTGAGCTTTGTGTCAGCAAACTTGCTGAGGGTGCACTCCACTCCATCATTTCATCATCCAGGTCATTGAGGAATAAGTTGAACAAGACCACACCAAGTACTGAACCCGGGGGATGTTGCTAGCTACAGGCCTCCAAGAACGGCTTGGGTTGGAAGGGACATTAAAGATCATCTAAATCCATCCCCCTGCCATGGGCAGGGATGCCACCCAATAGATCAAGTTGGCCAAGGCCCCATCCAGCCTGGCCTTGAAAACATCCAGGGATGGGGCATTCACAGCTTCTCCATGCAACCTGTTCCAGTGCCTTACCATCCTTCTACAGAGAAGAATTTCCTCCTAATGTGTAGTCTATCATCTTCTGGTTTAAGACCATTCCTCCTTGTCCCATGCCTTCTTACAGGAGAGAGGTACCAATGGTATAAAATGGATCCGATTTTTACCCCAGATGGAGCTTGTTTCATATGAGAAGCTTCCTGTGCTGCTCCTTGGAGAGCAGCCCATGCTGGAGCAGTCCATTCCTGAAGGACTGCACCCTGTGGTACGGCTCCCGAGCTGGCAGTTCTCAGGCTGGCAGGCATTTTCTTCTGCCCCAGGTTCAGGAGACTTTTTCTGTCAGCCTTTTTCCAGTTAGGGCATGGTCACCTTTATGGCTACTACCCTCATCTGGTTACCGAACCCCATGATAATCTCCTATCCCCCAAATGACTTCCATCTGGGTTGTTTTTTAGGATTTCTTTATTTTTTCTTTAAATGCGGGGCCTGGGCTGGTGGCCTGTGTGGTCACCAGCCCCCGGCTCCTCCTGCTGGGCCCTGCGCAGCCACGATGTGTCCCTGGGGTTCGTGTTGAGCGGGGACCAGGGCTGTCTGTGCCCGTCCTGCTCCCAGTGCCACGAGAAGCTTCGGACGAGCTGTCGTGGCATGGAGAGGCTGTGGTCCCTGCGCCTGGGTGACGTGCTGCGGGACCTGTAGCTGGAGGGACTTCGCCGCCGCTGCTGCCACCTCCGTGCTGGCCCTGCGTTGCGTTGGGCCCTTTCCCAGGGCCGTCGGGCTGAGGCAGCCCGCATGGAGCACGGCACCAGCCTCACGATGGCCAGGATGGGGCGCCGGCAGAGCGGGCAGGTGGCTCTGTGGGCAGCCCATGGCTCGATGCACTCCATGCAAAAGGAGTGCCTGCAGGGGTTCAGCCGGGCTGCGTCAGCCAGCGGGCCCAGGCAGATGGTGCATGACTCTTCTCTGGGCACCTCTGCTGGCAGCTCCTGGTGTGGCTGGCTCATGGTGCCCACCTCTGTCCTGGCGTGGAGATGCTTGTTGTCTGTGGGATGCTGCTCTGATGACTAGCAGGTGTCAAGCGCCTCTGGTCCTCAGCACCTCCCTCGCAGGTTGCTGGCAGAATCTCAGAGTAGTGGTCCACCAACAGCACCCTGATGCCTTGCGCTTCACCAGGAAGACCTTGACGCCTTGCCTGCAACCAGAGGAAGGGATCTCAACATTTTATATGCCACAAGAAGGACCTTGACATCTTGAGTTCCACCAGAATGATGAGGGTGCCTCACCTGCCACCCAGAAGGGCCTCGCGTCTCTTGTGCCAAAGGAAGGACCTCGACGTCTTGCGTGCCACTGGAATGACCTTGATGTCGTGCCTTCCACTCACAACACCTCCAACTGCCACATTCCAGCAGTAGGATCTTGACCTCTCGAGTGCCACTAGCCGGACTCAACACAGGCTGGACGCTCAGGGCTCTTATGGCCAGCTGCCTTTTCTGAGGCCACTGGGTAACAGTGACTCTGGTGACATCAAAAGGCTCTCACGGTGCCCCTGATGGCAGCACTTAGGGAATTAATGTGACTTTTCTGATAAAATGCTGACATGAAATGGCTGCTCCACACTGACAGGTGCAATGTCTGCCAGGCTGGGGTCCAGGCCGGGAGCTTGGCCTTTGGCCTGGGAATTGCACCTGGGGCCAGGGATGTCCTTGACGTGCAGCTGGACACCTGAGCACTGGAAATGCCCTGATGAGACCATCGATAAGGATACAACAAGAAACTGAGGAACAACTTATCACCTGGGAAAGTGAAAAAGAGCCTGGCATGAGGAAATTGGCCCAAGAAAGTGGGAACATGCATGATAAATCAAGAGTTGTTTAAAGAATATGAGGAACATCATCAGCTATTGGCTCTCCAAGGAGGATGGTAGAAATGAACAGCATCTCTTGCTTACCTGAAGTGGTGGTGTCATCATAGAATCATCACAGAACCACAAAATCACAGAATGCGCAGGGTTGGAAGGGGCCTCTGAAGATCACCTAGTCAAAACCCTTTGGCCAAGCAGGATCACCTAGAGCACATGGCACAGGATGGCATCCAGGCAGGTTTTGAGTATCTCCAGAGAAGGAGACTCCACAGACTCTCTGTGCCAGTGCTCTGTCAACCTCACAGTAAAGAAATGCCCTCTCATATTCAGCTGGAACCTCCTGTGCTTCAGTCTGTGCTCATTGCCTCCCATCCTGTCACTGGGCACAACTGAAGAGAGACCAGCTCCATCCTCTTGACACCCTCCCCTAGGATCTTATAAGAAGATAAAATGCAAGCCTGGGAGGTTCCTTCCCATCATCATGCTTCTTTTTGCTCAGATGACATCAGTGTAAGTCTGAAAAAATTATCAGGGTTTATCTCAACTGGTTGTATACTGGTTAAAAAACCCACTCCTTGTGTTCCTGGTGCAGAGATGTGGTGGGCCTGAGTGACACCTCCCTGTGCTTCAACAAGCAGTTCAGCCCCAACAAAGCACTGCAGAATGACAACCCCCTTCCCAAATATCTCATGGCTTTAAGAATATGTATCTGATAAATCTGAACATTATCTGTTTAAATGGATGCAAAATGTCCGGCTCTCAGAAGCCGGGCTGTAATTCTGAGGACGCCATGGAAAGAAGAAAAAAAAATTACTAGCACTAGTAACAGATGTGAAATTACATTAGATAAATATAATCATTAGTTTCAGTCTCACCCTGGTTAATTTGTTTGTGGAAATGTGCAACCCATTATTCATTAGGTAATTTTTCACACATTGATTAGAAAGCCATGTCGAATTGTGACCCAGCACATTGGGGTTTGCCTATCTTGCAGTGAACTATATCGCTTACAATAGTGGAAATGGGGGACAAAATGTTTATCTCAAGCTGATTTTGTGCCAATAAATAAAGTAAATCAATAGCCAGTGAAGTGTGAACGACATTTCTCTGCTGTATAATATGGTTTTGGGGGCAATTTGACATGCTACAAGGGGAAACAAGGGTCTTGAACAGAAAGGTAATAAAAGCAAATCATGCTGGTAACTGTTACTGAAGTCCTGTATTTTTCTCTACATGGGCAGCTTTAAGATGAGAAAAATAATGCACGTAACAGTCTAAACACACTGACATACTCCCCACCTCTGTAAGCACAGGGGATCAAACCCAAGTGTGGCAGGGACCATGGTGGGTCTCTGGGGATTGGATGTCCCTTCCGAGACTGGGTCTCTGGCTGGGGATCTGGAGGCACTCACCCTCACTTCCATCCTCCCGCAGGCAGCTGACTCTCCCAGGGGTGAAATTCTGAGGCTATAAATAGTTTTGCATTGAATTGCAGAAGCAGTACTCCCATATACCCATGAGAAAACTGTAGCACAGATGCAGCTTATAATAAATGGACTTTGCTGCTGGTGCAAAGTGGAGGAACCTCACCAGCTTTGGTGTGTGACACCAGCTTGCAACAGCAAAGAACCCAGCTCTCTATCACTGTTATTTACCCCTGCTGTTTTTCCTTTGGGAAACTGCAGGTAAGTAAAAGAGGAAAGCAGAGAGAAATGCAGCTTGAAGCTGGTGCTGCCAGGTCTGTCTTTTACAACCCTAACCAAATTCTTTCCAAAAGATGATTTTACCCAAGCATCAGTAGTGGTATACCTTGTTTAACCCACGCAGCTTCTTCAGTCAGCAAAATGCAAATGAGAACAAACCAAATTCAAAAAACAATTTATTTATTTATTTATTTATTTTTAAGTTTTATTGCTGTTCTTGTTGACATTGCCAACAAGAAAGAGAGTGGAAGGGAATGTACATAACAGTTTAAGCCATCTATCAGTGAAATCTTAGAAATCAGTCTCAGATATCACCAAGGCTGGTATTAGGTCAAAAAAGAAAAAAGAAAAGGAAAAAAAAAAAAAAGTCTAAGTACAGCAAACACAAGGAAAACAGCTCCTTAAGTAAATTCCAGAGTCTTCACAGCACTTTGCATTTACACCACCAACACTGTGCCCACCAACACTCCACACAAACCACCTCTGCATTTGCAGTGATCCATGTCAGGTAAAATACAATAATAAACTCAGTCCAGAAAAGAAGCAGTGTAATAAACTCAGCCAGCTTCCTCCAGGCCCACAAGAGGAGCAGACCCATAAATCTGGGCCAGTTTCTCTTTCCTGGTGCATTTGAGCTGGTCAAAACTGGTAGAAGTCCTGGTGGTGAGGTAGCTTTGCCCACTGCTGAGCCATGAAGAGAAAGCAAAGTGTAGGCAGCAGGTTGCGGGAGTGATGCTCTAGAGACACCCTCAGGGTTGGGAACCAGGCTGTGCTGTTTCCTTGTGGATGCTGGCAGTGGCTCCTGGTGTGGTGTGATCTTTCTGAGGATGGAATCATCCACAACATTCAACATTCATCCACACAGGGGACAGTGCGGACGTTTTCATGTGCACCTGGGGATCAGGACCTTTCAATCAAAGCACACACTCTGCTGAAACTTCAAAGGACTCAAGTTCTGATGTGTCTTTAAATAGAAATAAATAATTGTTGTAATAAAAATATTGATACATTTTAATAACATTTAAAATTAGGTATTAATGCTGCATTTGTGTTTTTCACAGAAATCAAATTAATTTGCTTGGAACAGTCTCTACCTAAATGTCTGCAGAAATAGACCAATGCATCTATTAAACTGATAGGAGTCTCTCCCAACACGAAAGGGGCAAGAGAAATATCTACCTGATGATTTATAAGCTGCCTCTGCCTGGCATTTTAAGCCTCAGATGTTTTCTTTAAAATACAGATTAAAATAACTTGAGCTTTTCCACATAATGCAGACTGCATTAAGGTAATTAACATTTAATTAACAGCAGGTTTTCCTCGGCAGGTCAGATTGCGAAGGGCTCACTGTTGTTGCCATAGAAAGTGGAAGGCTGGGCTGTTTGGTTTCCAGAAAAGGAACAGCTGTCTTTGAGCCCTGACAGTCTGAAACCATCCTTGGTAGGCTATAATGCTCCAAAGGACAAGGAGAAGAGGAGGCTGTCAGTGTCACAGAGACCATCTCAGGCTGCTGGAGAATGTCATCTCCTTTAGAAACCAGTGTGCTGTTGTTAGGATATTTTTCTAATTGAACTGACAGTAGAGCTTTAAAACTCCTGTAAGCACTCAGTAAGCTAATTTAACTGTTTTCCTCTGATATGCTTCTTAATTGCATGAACAGAGCGGTGCAATTATTTCTCACAGTTTTGCTTTTCATCTTTTATTTTTGCTGCTTCTCTTCTCTTCAGATTCTTCACTCTTTCTCTTGGTAGCCATTTGGGGCTCGTTATGAATATTATCCAAGAATAGATGGATGCACAGATTTCATTAAAAAGTCACATTGTTGCTGTGAATTGAAAACTGCTGTCAAGATGTTGCAAACGATATTTGTAAAGGGATCTTTTAAAAGGACAGAAATACTGAAATGAAGATAACAAGATAGATGTAGTGAATCTGTAATGGCACAGACTAATAACTCCTGGGGAAAAAATAAAAAAGAAAAAAAAGAATGCAATCTCTGAGAGAACTCGGAAGAGGATGGGGGCTCCCAGAAGGCTGGTGGAGTTTGCTCTTTCTCTTCAGTATGTGTGAGACGAGGCTGAAAAGGATATCAGAGACATGCAATTGCAACAGCAACTGACTGTAATTTTCAATAGAATGATCCAAGGCTTCATGTTGCAGAAGGAGGTTGTATCAGTCCATTCCTAGATGTCTGCAATTGCAGGCACAGTGGCTCCTACAGTCCAGGGCAGTCAGAGAAATTAAATAACCACCAATGGTTTATTTCAGTTTTGCTCCCCCTTCTGTTCCAGGGAAGAGTGACACATCAGCTTCCCCTCTTCCTGTAAGCTTTTAGCCACCAAAAGCAGTCAGGCTGCCCCAGAGAGTTTGTAAACCCTAATTTGACTTCTAGAGCACCTGATGTGGAGCGGTGACACATCTCAGGGAAAGTGTGATCCCAAGAAATATATCTTTGCCATGTGTATCATAAATATATACAATACATATGTATGATCCTATGACTGTTTTAAAGAGTAGTTTGATAGCTGCTGATTGGATGCTGCTCCTCAGACTTAGAGGGGACATAAAGGAACATGAAATATATAAAGACACTAGTCTGCTGAGGGCACAGGCATGAACAACTCTGCTAGCCATGGCAGATGTATCCAGTCTGCTCTAGCTTGGCATTCAGTGGCGTTGACCAACCCTAAAGGATGCACTGGCCCAGGAAGCCAAACACACATGACTTAGATGGACCCAGATGAGAAACTCAGAGATGGAAAGGCTCTTTACTTTCACACATCAGTGCCAGGAGCTGCAGGAAGGAACTAAACCCAGTGTTCCTGGACTCTTTTGGGATGCAGGTCCTTGGGAGGCTCTTGGGAGCACAGGTGGGCTGTGGGCATTCCTTTCCCCGTCACCCAAGATGGATCTGAGCAGCAGGGCTTGGCATTGCGGTGCTCCCTCCAGCTCCTCTTGCTCCAGGTGGGGGCCCTGCTCTGTGTGGGCTGCTTCAAAGTAAAAGGAGGACCAAAGCAACTTGATGCTGTATCTGTCTTCACAAACAGCATGGGTTTGCGTGGCTTGGACCTTACCAGATGAGGATAGCAGCTTTCTGCCAGTGCCATTGCCATAGCCTGCAAGGGATGTTTCTCTCCAAGAAGAGGACACCATGGTGAGAAGAGGACAATGGGCTTGATTATGGATGTTACTGGAGGTATCTGGAAGAAATTGGGAACCTGTCTACTTGGAGAAATCAGTGCAGAGTGAGCAGAGGTGGGGGTTTCCAAAGCAATAGCTGCCTCAATGCTGGACTGCCAACTACCGCAACAAAAGGAGCTGTGAAGGTCCTGCTGTTCAGAGGAGACAAGTCACACCAAACCCATGCTCTGCAGAAAGCCCCAGTACAAGGACGAGGAGGATCATTGAGATTCCCTGATATCTTGGTAGCTTAGTGCCTCCTTCTGGAGCCACAGTGGCTCTATGTCCAGGACACCCCAAAAGTTGTGTGTACATGGGGGTGAACCACTGCAAAGAGTGCAAACTGCTCCTGGACAGGTTGAGTTGCTTCCAAGCTACCCGTGTAGGGCCCAGATGTTGTAAATTGTTTGCCATGCCTTGTCTCCCACCTTCCCATTTTTCTTTTGTTTCACTGTTATTATAAAAAATTGGTGGATGGCTAATATTACAAGTCCAGGGCAAAACTACTCATACGTTTAGTGTAAGGACATTTAAATATTTAAAGCAGATGGTTCCCAATGACCTTACATGTCTCCTTTATAAATGTATGTACTGTCTTATAGAACCATCTGCATCCCAATATGCAGCTCATATGTTTCCAAGTGTTTCCTCGTTAACCAGCAGAAAACTTCATCTTCCCTCTGACATGAGGTAAAGGTTCAAGCCCAGCTACAGTGGTGCACATCCACTGCCCCGCTGGGAGCAATGCTTATCCCAGGGCAGCGAGATGAGTGTGCCTTGTGCTTTGCATTACTATTGGCTGGAAAAGGGCAGGACTTGGAGCAAGCCAGTAGGTTTCCTGGCATGAGACAAGCCTGGGAAATTCAACTGGAGAACAGATAACGTGCAAAGGTATCACCACTGGTGGCATTGGGGTGCGCCCACCACTTGGCACGGCTGTGGGTGAAGCGCAAAGCAACACAGAGCCACGCACAGCTCCCTGTCCCCCTGGACTAGCCTTGCTCCTCACCCTGATTTTGTAGAGAAGAGATGAGCCAAATCTGAAAAAGCAATTTTCTGTTCCCAGAGGGACCCGGGGGAGATGAGCTCTGATCTTGCACTCATCTTGCAGTCGCCTGATTCCCTGGCCTGGCAGCCTCCCTCCCTCTGCAAGCCTCCACTATGCGGAGATCCCCTCTTGTCAGAGCACAGTGGTTGCCAGGCTCCTTTCAAAGAAAAATCCTGTAATATTTTAGGACTTGCCCTGTGACTGGCCGCGTGCTACCTGCCCTTTTTTGGTAGGAAATCATCTTAAAGAATTGTTCATAAAACATACATAAGTGGTAGGTAGATGGGAAGTGGCATGCCTCTAATTTAAATTTCGATTAGAAAAAAATACAGAAATGTATTACATGAGGAACTGCTAAGAGTTGTATGGAATATTGTGTTTTAAGACCTACTGTAGATCTATGTCGGTGCCTGTGAAAGAGAGGATAATTAGTGCCCGTACTCTCAGTCATATCAGACTAAAGGTAATGGGGTGTAAGAAATGGTTCATTAGGCTCTCTCAAGTACTTTTACTGTGTCCATACTATTTATACCAGCAGAAAAAATTCAATGTCTTTAAAATCAAGTCAAAGCATTCGCCTTAGATTCTTCAGTTTAAGAAATAACATTGAGTGATGATCTCTTAAAGTCAAATGGAAAAAAAAATGTACATAAAAAAACCTTGAGCCATTTTTATTAGCATTCTGTGTCGCTCCAACACAGTCACCATGCCTATGCAAATCCTGTCTCCTTCGTTTGTGCTTCCATCTATATGTTTAGCTTCCACAGGGGAAAATTTGTGGACACAGGAGGTAAGCTGCGAAATGCATAGCATTTATTTTTGGAAGCAACGTGTATATGAAATATCATTTGCTTTCTGTTCTGAACAAAAGAGCAAACTGTGTGAAGAACAGCAACAAATGTGAGTAAGGGCAAGGCAAGAATGGCTGATAAAAAAGGGTTAAAAAAACAAAATATGTGTAGCTTGACTAAGTGGGGAGGACAGGATGGCATGCTACAAATGTTTGAAGGGTACAGCTATCAAATGAGGGTGGGAAAGTTATTTAGGCTGACAAAGGAGATATAAGTAGGAGTAATAGGATGAAGTTAACAAAGGAAAAATTTAGGTTAAGAATCAGGAAAAGCTTCCTGACAGCAAAATACATAATACAGCTCTGGAGCAATTTCTCTTGGGAAGCAGAGAAGCCCCATCACATGAAGCCCTATGCATTTAAAACTAAATTGGAAAAGCATTAGAAAATATAAGGATTAAAAAAAAAATAAGACCCATTTCTGTACAAACAGAGGCTGGTCTGGCAAAAAGAGGGCTGCTCCCCCTTCCCTCTGTTTCTATTTTTTTTTGTGGTCTTTGCTAACAATGTGCCATTTGCACTTTCTAGAGAAGTACCTAGCACAGCAAGGGTAAATTTGGGAGTCAGTCTATTAGCATAAATTATGCTATATATCTACAAGATAATAAGGGCATAGCAAAGACACATTGTACTAATACTGCATGCAATTCTGAGTGCACTTTCGAACATACCTCATTTTTTGATTTGCTGTCCTGGGCATCTCCGTTTTGAGAATTTGGCCCTAGACAGCATCTTAGTCTGATACCTGTACAGTCTCTGGAAAGAACTGAATGAGCTATGTTTCATTCTGTACACTCCAAGCATGGTTTAAGCACCAACAGGTGCCACAAAAAATAGGTGTGGGACACCCATGGTCACCGGTAGGTTGATGGGGAGTGGAGGTGCTGAGCATCACTTGGTGGCAGGTCCTTCCCAAGCATCTCAGCTCAACAGCTTGCGTTACACAGGGCTATGGAAATGCAGATCCAGTGGTCTGAGCTTGGCGCAGCAGGCAAACATTTATCTGGGGTAGGAAGTGAGAGGGGAGCTATGTGGTACTGGGGTGGCCTAAGCTGGAATTTGTGTGTGGGCACCAGAAGGGGGCTGCATAAATCA